ATTCAAAATTTCCTACTAACTGAAAATATTAGGTGTGTCCCGCGCGCTCATATGACCTTATGCAGTTGCGAGCGCCGTAAAACACTTTACAAAAACAAAAGCAAAAAAAATCTCTTTTTTATCTACACTTTGTCTCTTTTTATTAATGTTTCATTTCTTTTTTTTTTCTATATTTTGTTTCTTTTTATTAATACTTTATCCCTTTTTATCTATACTTCGTCTCTTTTTGTTATCTATGCTTTTTTTTGGTATGTTTTGTTTCATTTTATCTATACTAGATCTCTTTCTTTTTTTTTTTTTTCTTTTTTAAAAATATACTTTGTCTCTTTTTGTCTATACTTGTTCCTCTTTTTCTTGTTTAATTTTATACTTGATCTCTGTTTCAGGCCATGTACGATTTCTACTTAAAGCGCAGAGATCAGCTAAAGTCCACCCTACGACGTCGTGATTCTTGCAACAGCCTCTCCTGAGGGACACACAATAGACGGCTTGATTTGAAAACCGCTTTGACTCAGTTTCTGGTTCGATGTCCGGATAATATCTTCTTTTTTTTTTTTTTAACAAACTGTAGGTTTGTTTTTTGTTTTTCTTTGGTTCTTTAAGTATTAATTTTTTTCTGGTTTGGAAATTTTTTGTTGCTTTGTTTGGGGTTTCTGCGCTCATTCTCTTATGTGAAAAGGATAGAAAGCTCCAAGTGAAAAACTTGAGATTTTGCTGTACAGTGTATTAATTTGTTTTTCCTCAACTTGTCTTTGTAGAGGTTCAAAGAACACGTTTTCATTTGAATTGTTGAGTGGGTGGTTTGCTCCTTCTTTCCTATCAAACGTCTTTCGTCCTTATCGGTCCTTCTTTTTTGTGTTCGTTACTCTCTTGTGACACATCTTGTCTTCGTCACTTGTAATGCCTTATTGTGTCACAAGTGCCTTAAAATCCTTACTAAATCAAAATGTTGAAATCATATTGGTATAACTTGTGGCCTGATGACGACCGAGATTTAGAGCTTGGGTTTTCATCTGCACCCCCC